GGGCATGTGACAATAGCTATTTAGTTAGTAACTCCTTGTGTTGCCAGACACTTGTGTGTAATCTAAGGGCCACCATCATTTCAAGGATAACTTTTATTCACTACAGAGCTATTTTTAGTACGCTATTGTCTACATTTGGGGCAGGCTTCGAAATAATCTCCATTTCACGATGTTGCTTTTACCACCAATGTACTCTCTTGGGTCCACTGATTCGCTAATCATGTGCACTTGCATATTGCTCTAGCTGAGAAAGGATAAATCCTGGAAGTGGTGATGGATGAGGAATAGTAGCCCTTCTAGAAAACAGTGGTAAAGTTAAAAGATCATTCATCTGCTTACATTTGGGTTCCAGATGCTGGCTGTTTCCGATCAAGCAGTCCTTGATATCGGCTCCGCTCTCTATCACTGCACTATGGCACACAACACAGTTCTGTAAGCTGCACCTGTAATGCAATTATAAATGGGGCTTTATTATTATGATATTTGTTTTATTATTACCTTTATATCCCACCTTCTCCAAGGAGCTCATGGTGGCATACACATTTGTCCCCCTCTCCATTTGATCCTCATAGCAACCCAGGGAGGTAGGCTCAGCTGAGAGCTAGTGACTACCCCAAGGTCATGCAGTAGAGGGCTTCATGGCTAAGTGGAGATTTGAACCCTGGTCTCCCAGGTCCTAGTCCAGGACTCTTAACCACCACACCATGCTGGCTCTGAAATGCAGCAAGAAGTTAGACCAAGAACAGTAGTGACTCCTTGACCAACAATAGCACCGCTACTGCCACCAGGGGACAGGAACCATAAATGTATGGTCTCAGATTCCATCTCTGTTGTAAAAAAGGATCAGGTAGTAGGTGAGTAAAAAATTCCCTGCCTGAGACCCTGGAAAATGACTGCCAGTCATAGCGGAGCAGACAATACTGGTCTAGATGAACAAATAGCCTATCCTTGTGTAAGGCAGCTTCCTATGAGCAGACCTGGGATATAAAACCTGCCTTTCTTCCAATTCCAGTCTTCTTCTTTCCCAGCCTTGGTGCTTAGTTGCTATGACAGAGCTCTGCTGCCAGATGTCACAAAGGGAGCATACAAAAGGACAAAGACAAGACAGTTGCCACCTTTCACATTCAGGATGCTTTTCTATTTGCAGCTTCTACTGCCTTGCAGAGCTCCCCCCACCCTTTTGTATTAGGGTAAATATTGCCACTGACTTTGTATTCATGCACACACAAATACCCTGCTATGTTAAACCAACAAAAGCCAAGGAAATAAAGCCTGGAATGCTCTCTGGTTCAGGGATTCCCAATTGGTGCAACCTTGCACACTGTTTGCTAGAATAACAAGGACACAGCCAAAATAGTGAAAGGTATACTACCCTGCCAACAGTCTTTGCAAAAGGATGGTTTTAAGTCACAGTTAAAGAGTCAGAGGAGAAACAAGCAAGCAAGCAAGCAAGCAAGCAAGCAAGCAAGCAAGCAAGCAAGCACTAGATTCCTAATTTCAGTTCTCTCAAAATCATACATCTAAGTGGTACTATTCCTTTGCATCTCTGTCTCATGAGAATCCATCATCAGACAAAATAGGGAGTGTGAAAATCAGTGTTAGAAATATTCACTGGCATTACACACAATTTCCTTCTCAAACACATACCAAAGCACTGTCATATCATAGGCTTCTTGTCTGTGCACAAGCAAGTACAAAAACAGAAAAGCTACATAGGCATCCAGCTACTTGAACAGATGTGATTTCATTATGTAACAGAATCATAGAATTGTAGAGTTGGAAGAGACCATGAGGGTCATCTAGTCCAACCCCCTGCAATGCAGGAATCTCAATGCAAATCCAGAAGTTTCTATTCCGTGTGGAAACAGAAAATAACAGCACACAGAAATGCAGAAATCATAATGCTTTTTGGATACTTCCAAAAGGCTGGAATTCTATGTGCTCTCCCTAAGCCCTTTCACAATGAGACACAAATCTATATTTCTTTTCATCACCTAGTGTTTGGTATCAAATTCCAAAGCTCTATTAAAACCTGGATGAATTGGGGGAAAGTTTTAATAATTTTCATATTTTACGACATTTTCTCATTTCTGGTTGAAGAAAGTGACAGCCTCACTTGAAATGTAAAATTCAAGCTTTTCATGTTTCATTCCCAAGTTGCCCACTTGCAGCTAAAGAAAGCTGCACTCAAGTCTCCTGGCACAGGATAGATTTAGACCCTGAGAAATTGCTCCCCCTATTGGTTGCCCGTCACTGTTCCAGTGGAACACGGCTGTCAAAGCAGGCAGACTGTCCTGTGAGCACAAGCAGCATATACAGGGCTTCAAATATCAAGACAGAGACCTTGACTGGACTTAATGAAAATTCGCAAGGATACGATCATAATGCCCCGGGTTGCTAAGGAGACCGACTCCCATCTCAGACAATTGGGAACTGAGCTTCTCCAGTCAAAGCTGAGTTGACAATCCTCTTGTTGAAAAGAATTTAACTCCCTCTCTAAGACATCATAGGGCTCAGAGAGGAGCAGGCCTATGGTATGAAAAGGGAGACATTTTGAACAGGCAAGACTCTCCTTGCTGTAAGCCCAACTGCCTCCCCTCTCACACAGCAAGGCTGCACAGTTATGCATGATGGAGTCATCTAGCTCAGGTTGCCTTGGCAAGGCCTCTTATTGAGATGTTAATAGAGGGGAAAGGCTGTGTAGACAGCTCTCTCTCTCCCTTTGCTCCCTATCCCTGCTACACTGACACAGCTGCTTCCTTTCCAACAGCTCCATTTACTGCACAACAGTGCTAGCATGAAGAGTATCTAGGATTCACTGGTTTACACACTGGAAACCCAGAGTGTTGTTGGGATTTTTAAAAATGCACCCCAAGTTCAGGTGCAGCCCTTGCAAGATACCCGTGGTTTGCCATCGCAGAGAATTGCAAACTACAACTTTCCAAGCTGAAAGTTTCGCAATATCTTGATTCCAAGTGACTCTAAAACAAATGTCATGGAAAACAAATCAAGAGCACACTCTCTCGCATACTGTTGAACTTACCCAAGCTTCTAAGCCAGCTTCATTTGTGATGCTAGGCTGTGATTTCAGGAGATACATAAAGTAAACTGCTCACCTCTACATTTTCAAAGGGTAAGTTCTTTATACTAGTATGCTTTGGTGTTGCAAAATCTTTTACACTGGGAAAAAGTGAAATCAATTAGTCTGCAAAGAACTTCCAGAAGCATCCTCTTAAGACATATGGCAAACAGGCAAATACCCTCACCCTCTCCTCCATCACCTTTTTAAACAGGGAGCTTGAGGAAGAGTTCTGTGTTACTCAAAAGCTCGCTTAATGTTTTGTGGCTTTTATTTGGCCTAATAACGGCATTCTAATACTGCTCTTGTTTGGGCTTATTAAGAAACAAAATTTGGCTGCTTTCAACATCTGTTGGGCTGAAAGAACCCGTGAAAGAGCAGAAATCTCATTCTGGATGTCAGATTCCAGCAAAACAAGGGAAACGTATTTTCCATCTCCAGGATGACAAAAGCTTCCAGGGATGGAAACATTTTAAATTCAGTATCTATAATGCAGGATTTCAAACACACACTGATAATTCTAAGCTCCCACTAGGGCCCTGCCCCACAATAGAGCAGTTTGGCCAGATTTTACCACAGGAGTGGAAAACAAATTGAAGACGTAAAACACATTTTGTGGGTGTTCCTTCCACTCACTGACAGATGTAATACAGCCATTTGGAAATTACTTGCAAATGCTTTTTTGTGCACATTTTAAAAATCAAACTATAAAGACTGCCAACAGAAGAATTTTGTGTTTATTTTATTTCAAACTCCTTTCTGTCCCCCCACCCCTGTCAAGAAATAAGCTTATTTTCTTATGTGGCAAGCATCTGATTTCCTGGCAATTTGATTTCCAGTTTTGAGTACTGTATCCTTATAAAACTACAAATATAACATTAGCCTGTATAACAGCTTTGATGCTAGCAGTCACCTATGTAAGAATGTATCGGATAGAGTGGTTTCTAATGGGAAACACATTTATTGTTGCGAAAAGGACAATTACATTTTCAGCACTGTGAAAGTAGATATCTTCTGATGCTAAAATCTGCAGTGCTCACCTTATTAACAAGTCACAAGTGATTTAAAGGTATACAAATTGGCCAATGTGAACACAAAATCAGCCTCTATGATAATCATAATATATTTAATGTCCATTAAATTCCGCAACTCAAGCTTTGTTTAAGAGCCATAGTCAAATTTCAGGCTGTAAAATCAATACAAAATAAAACACAGATATCAACAAAGACATTACGAGACAGAATAGTACAGTGGTACCTCGGGTTACATACGCTTCAGGTTACAGACTCCGCTAACCCAGAAATAGTACCTCAGGTTAAGAACTTTGCTTCAGGATGAGAACAGAAATTGTGCAGCAGTGGCACAGAGGCAGCAGGAGGCCCCATTAGCTAAAATGGTGCTTCAGGTTAAGAACAGTTTCACGTTAAGAACGGACCTCCAGAACGAATTAAGTACTTAACCCGAGGTACCACTGTATTTATTGCGCTGAAAAACCTGTAAGATATCTTGTAATTATTATTATTTTAATAAGTAACGAGGGTGGTCTCTTGCTTAATAAGTCTAAGGAAAATGATGAAATTAAAATTGTCATGCATGGGCAGAGTTGCTGCTATTAGAATTAATACACTCCTGAGGTTTCTTTTTGTCTTTGAACATGTGCCAATTAGTATACATGCACAAATACTGACAACTTGGCAGGAAAATGTTATCTAATTTTAGTTGGGAGGGCAAATGATAATGAGTTTCTTTGCAGAATTCAAAAGAGAAAGAGAACAGCCTGCCCAAACTCTTACTATTTTGTCATGGCACTGAAAATGACACATTAAATACATGGCACAAGCCCATTGGAAGATACTCCGTTCTGTTCCATTTGGAACTGTTTTACGTGTTTTGCAATTGTAGTGGTTTTGTTTTTATACAGTAATGGTATATTCAGTGGCTCCCAAGTGGTTTTCCCCACGGACCACTTAAAAATTGCTGAGGATCTTGGTGGACCAATTCATTATTTTTCTGCCTCTTGTAGCAATCACAATATGCCGTGATAGGTGCTGTATGGTTTTTATTTGTATCTTTATTGCTTTTTTATTTCTTATATTGTATTGTATCCTATTACAATTTGAATTCCACAGAATTCTATGGAATTTAAAAGGCAAGTGAGTTCTTCACAGACACAGTGCAGACCACCTGAAGGAAGCTTGTCCGCAGACCACTTTGGGAACCCGTGGTATATTTTACGAAATTGTGTGTTTTTAAGTATACAGAAAACCAGACAGTAACAAGATCTCATTATTGAAATACAGAATGGAGAAATGGGGGAAATATGAAAACAGCATTCACTGATTTTGAAATACTAGTTGTTAATTGGAACGATTCCAAAAATGTTATTTAGAATTCACTGTCAATTTGCTATCTGTTAATTACTAGTATGAAACAAATCTTTAAATGGAGAACAAAATTGTTTCAGTGCCTGACTGGGATAAAATCTGTACTAAATGTTTTGCTTTGCCAGTTAATATTAATATGAGGGAAACATTATAAAATAATAATAGTATTTGAGCCCCAACAAACTGAAAACTATGATTATGTCATTCATAAATGCTGGAGATGTGATCTATTGTGTGATAATGTGGCATGGAAATGTTTTCCGACATTACAACGTACTTCTTGCTTTATTGGATGAAATGGTGAGAGATAAACATGACATGCTCACCTCTCCTCTGTTAATGGTGGGTGGAATTCAACTGGTGCTCTTGTGCTCATGCTAGTGGAAGAGCAAGGGAGGCATTTTTGCCTCTCACAAGCACTCTGCAGCTCCCACTGAAAACTAGCTCCAAGGAGTTGGGGGACCCTCCAGGACAGGGTGAAGAGTGGCAGAAGGGGCTATAGGGAGAAGGGGAAACTGGCAAAAACCACCTCCCTGTGCTGTTAGCGGACACCACTTGATCGCTCCTATGACATAGCATGAGACTCTTAATCTCAGGGTCTCGGTGGTGGGTTCATGCCCCACGTTGGGCAAAAGATTCATGCATTGCAGAGGACTGGACTAGAATGACCCTTGTGGTCTCTCCCAACTCTACAATTCTAGGATTCTACACGAGATCAAAAGCCCTTTCATGAGCAAAAGGGCACCACAATTGGAGGTGGCCAATTGATTAGTTGCTAAAAATAGGCACAGACCAAAAAATCTGCAATTTAAAAATGGTTCTCCAAAGCATGGCACATTGTACAAATGTCTAAACTTACTGAGATTGTGAAACTTGGGATAAGGAAGCCAACAAATGGAAACCTTTGTGAAAACATGGCATCTATTCATTAAATTTGGAAGGCTATGTATACATATCAATATGAATGTTTATACAGGTTTTTAAGTTCAGTAGCATAATTTGTGTTTTGTTTTGTTTAAAAGGCTTTTTAAAGAGTTTTTAATTTTTTTAATAATGAAAAAGCTAACCACCACAACAAAACTGTGATGCATCACAAACCGTTTGACTTAGAACTGAAATTACAGCTAGGAGTTTTGATCGGCTTCAAGCAAATCCAAGTAGCTGAACTGGTCTTCTCTGGAGAGGAAGGGATTTAGCCCAATTTTGTGATACTAATGCATACACAGCCATCTGATGCTAAAATATGTTAATGTGTTGACCAGGTGTGATAGAGAGAAAAAGGGGTTGGGAGTCTGACTTTTGAGAGAAATGGGGGGGGCATGGAGAAGAGGAGTGATGACCAAGAAGTTTGGGGGGGGATAGATTACAAGGATTTAAGTCTTTAAAGCAGAGACCACCTAACAAGATGACTCTGAAATGCTTCTAATTTCAGTAAAGCCGCAACCCACCCCCTCCCCTCCCCCCTGCCTCCATTGTAAACAACTAATCCCAGCAGAAAACAACAGAGAGTAAAATGTATACTCATTCTGCAGCATTCCAGGCCTTGCTTTATCTTTTATTTATTTTTCTAAGAGGTCAGAGATTGTTTGAAAGAAGGGGGAGGGAGGGAGGCAAAGACACAGGCCATCTCTTGTGTGGGCTTGAAGGAAGCTGTTTTAAAGGCAATGTCCAAGAACATACAATCTGGAGTTTTTATAGCAGAGCAATCCCAGGCCTCATTCTCTCTCTCTCTCTCTCCCCCCCCCCCCATTTTGTGGTAAAGCTACACAGCTTTAAACCAAAGGACAGGGTGGTCGATTACTTCGGAAAGAAATGTAAAGAATTGGGAAATAATTCCTTTTCCTGTTGAAACTATAAATAAGGAAGGCTGATTTACACAGTGCCAGGACTGCTGACTTTCAAAGCTTGCTATCTGTCTATAAATCAAGTGCGTTGAGGGAAGTTAACTCTATACTTAAAGAGAGAGAGAAAAGCAAAGCCTCCACCACCTAAAGGTAGCGAGAGAGCCAAGGAATTGTGGTCTTCTATTCTCTTTAGCCCCAGAAAAATGCATCTGAGTGAAATCAAACATAGTGTGGAGGAGTGGGGGAATGGGAAGGGTGGGAGACTAAAATCTGCAGCGTTCAGCACACAAGGAACAGGCTGCAGAAATCCAAAACACAGCCCATAATTACAGGCTACCCGCCAATTATTTAGGACTCAGTGATTAATGTAATGAACAGCCATGAAGGAAAAGGAGCTTAGATGACTGAGGTCAAGACCTCAAGCAGTGCCCCAGCCCTAGACTCAGCTACCCAAAAAGGTATGGATGACAAACCCTTGCCTTGCAGCCAGTCTACAGACATGGAGAAGCACAACACATCTATTCTTTTATGTGGTGCTTTTAAATGCCAGGGTAGTGGCTAATGGAACAGCAGCCACCTATTATTTGACACAGGGCAAGGCTGGCAATGTGGTACACTTCAACAAGCCCTGGCTGGATTTTGCACGAGGGCTTATGCTGCTCTGAAGAGTTGTGAAGGAATATGTGGTGAATCATTCAGCCCAGTAAGGGGACAGGAAAGTGTAATTAGCCATAACTTGTAAAGCTTTCATCCTTTTGGTCAAAATTATTGCAAGTTTTGAATATGCATATTTCATGGGATAGTCTAGAAATCTTGCAGCTGTATTGAACATTCAGCTTCTTAAAACAATCTGGATCAACCTGTCTCAGAGCTGGTGTCTGTGACTCCAGGACCTGGTGTCCTAGAAAATGCCGACATCTATATCAAGGGTGTCAAGACTGGCTCAACATTTCAAGGCTCCTGAGGGAACCACAGATCTCACCATGTATTGTATTGGCAGCCCCACAGATGTGGCAGGATATACAGTGGATTTTTAAATTCCATACAAGCCTGGAATCTGCTAACCTGTATTGTGATGGGACTAGAATGTTACCTTTGACTGCTTTGTCAGGGCATGACTCTCGGACTACTGATCTATGGATCTGACTCGTTTCCGGAACTCAGAATTGCTCACTTAATTCACAAGTTTTCAAGGTAATGATGTAGTCAGTTTCTGGGAAAAGGTCTAATATAACACAGAGGCTGTTGGTACAATTGCTCCTAAGTGCTTCTCTACCCCACTCCGAAGCCACCCATAATTGTAGATTCGGTCAGTTACATTGCTTACAGAGAAGCAAAGCAGCAGGAGGAGCGACAATGCAAGTTTAAATCTGACCAAATATGCCACAGAGCCAATCAGAAGGGCTATAATGCGGCATAACAATCACCAACACAGTTATGCCCAGAAGAGCTGTTCCAGCTGGTACAGAGACTATGTTTCCCATGTTTGAATATTATGGCATTTAAAGCTAATGTGGACTTTTTTTTTTGCAAAGCAATTTGCAGATAAAATAATACAAGCTTAATATGATTGTTGAAGCAGAATCCAAAACAGAGATGTCACAGTACCTGCTTGTCAGAACTGCTTAGATACATTTCAGTTGTTGCCGAAATATGTTTATATTCAGGAATTATTAGCGCAGTTGTCAAAACCCTGTCCCTAGGTTATTTCACAACTGCTTAACACAATAACATTTATTTCAGCCATGTATTTGTTACAGTGTTTGTGTTACTGGAACATCTTATCTTTGATCATTGGATCATGATGGAAAGGCATTTTATTCTTCCTCATGTGGTCAGATCATTACTTTTGAGATCATGTCCCACAGACCTCTGGATCGAATTTAAGCCCAAACACTCATTGCAATGCACCTGCACTCTCCATCCTTTCACTTTTCTGCCTAAGAGCAGAACAGATTTCTTTTTAAAAAAACACCTGTTCTAAAAACAGCATGAGAATTTCTTACTGTGGCCACTTGCTGAATTCAATAAGGCAATAAAGGCTATGGCACTGTTTTGGGAAACAGCTTAATGTTTGCAGTAACAGCAGACCCCATCACCTTCTATTCTCATATAAAGTACCTCCATATTTCATATGCTTGATTTGGGGAATTATCCATTCAGATAAGTTCTCTTCAGATTTAGGTACCATTCTCCAACTTTAAAACAGAGTGCAACAGCCTTATGACTTGGAGGAGGGGAAGAGAGAGAGAAGTCACCTAAGTGCTATTATATTTTCATTACTTCTTGCAATATTTTCAGTTATGTACCTTCATCGTTGCTTCCAGCAAAGTGCAATGAACAGTTTTGTAGAACTCTTCACTGTAAAAAGCATCATGTAAAATAAGGAAGGATGGGGGCAAATGCTACAAATGTCTCAATTCTTCAAGCGGGGACTTGGTCTTTGGGCAGGGCAACAGCATCACCCCCCTCTCCCATTAAATCCAGTGGGCATTCCTACAAGCTTATGGGCCATTATGCAATGGTTCTGGGTGGTCTGCTAACTAGAGTCCTTCATAATGGTGAAGGACATGTAAGGTGTCAAGAAGCGACATTCTCTATTAGTATAATGCAGTGCAGAGCTCATCCTGGAGCTCCAGAGGCATAGTTGGCCAGGCCCAACGCCAAAGCAAGCATCTTGCTGGCTGTTTCTTGTCTGTCTTTGGCAAGAGCTGCTTTGGCGTTAAATATAAATCTTATATGTAGAATATTTTTGTCCTTTTTAAGTGGTGGACATCTTCCACAAAGCCCACTCAGTATAAACAGGGAGTTCCAAATTCGTGCTGCTTCAGTTTTGTGGGGCAAATGCTTTCTCCAGAACAGAAACAAATTCTGGTTCACATTAATGCCAGAGCATTTTGTTCAGCCCATACTGCCTGACTGATGGCAAAGTGTCCTCCAGAAAGAATCTACCATTTATCACTGGACATAAGTAGCCTGCATCAGTGTGTCCCATATGATCACCCTTAGTCTAGCCCCACAAGCAGCATGCCAAACCGGCAACTGAAGAGGAGGCATTCCTGTGACAGTTACCATCCTAGGATGCAGACCACCACAATATAAAATGTTTTGATCATCTCCACATGAGTTCCACATTATTTGCAGCTTCGCAACTATGAGGTTGGAAACAACTTCATTTTCTCATTCCTACTCAAGAGGGATTATGTTGTAAAATATATTTTATGATGCCACACAAATATTGCCTTGGCAGCAGGCTTGTTCCCTTGTACGTGTTATACAAGGTGGGGGTGGGAGAAAGCTTCTGTGCTTGTACCCCTATAAATCCCCAATACCACCCTGGGCTTAATTAGAACTTTCTTCAGATCACTCGCAACTTTGTACATCAGGTGCTGATTTGGCACCATCGAGGAAACAACTCATAAACTTCACTATCAATCTGCAGTTAGCAGCCAACTCCTCTTGCCTTGCTGGTTGGGTTTTTTCTCTCCCCTCCCCCGCCCTTGTACACATTCTCATAGAAAGTAGCATTAAATTGGAGACATGTGGTAGGCGGCAGCGGAGCTTAACTAGACACATGTGCTCTTTCTCCCATCAGCCTGCTGCCTAGTGAACAGTGGATGCATCTACATCATTCACTCAGGCAGGTAACTGAAAAGGTGCTTTAGAAAAACACAATCACCATCAAGCAGCAGCTCATTTCCTAACTATGATTGACTGTAGAAAGTCCCAGATATTTCTATCCCATTTTTCCATATAAACTATAATTGAGGCAGCTTACAAACAATCAAGAACAATAAAATAATGTAAGCCAGCTCACAGCAGCAGCTTCAGTAGGAGTAAAATCTTTATCTCCCAAAACGTTTCATTGAAATAAAGCCACTGCTCATCTGAAAGTGAAGAGTGATGGGACCAGGTGTACTGGCCTTTGTAGAATGTTCCAGATTCTGGATGCCAAATATATCATCTAGGTTGTGTTCAAATATTCTTGTTTATTCCTCCCCAACACTTTCAAAACTCCCAACATTTTATCCAGGCTCTTTCACCTCAACATCCTTGTCTGACCACACTGATTCCCATCACAATGATCCTTAGCATTTAAACTGAGCAATTCTCTTGGTGCACTCCACTGAATGAACAGGAGCTATACAAAAGGACAGGGCTTGCTTTCGCAATGCCCATTCATCTTCAAGCAGCATGAGCAGAATTTCCCCATAGACAGTGCCCTGTGGCAAGGGTGCTATTTGGATTTTGTGCCTCAGACACCAAAGTGCCTGTTCACTTCCTCACACTTCCCTCAAGTTATCATCCCCACAAGTGACCTCCCTTGTCTGTTTTATCACATGATATTGGTAGCTTTCAAGTCACCAGGCCCTTGTCCCAACCCTTGTCCAAGATTTTATCCTCACCTGTTCCTTGAATTGACCTGTAAATTACCTAATTAGGCAAGTTACCTCATTTAACGGGGACGCGGGTGGCACTGTGGGTAAAAGCCTCAGCGCCTAGGGCTTGCCGATCGAAAGGTTGGCGGTTCGAATCCCCGTTGCTCGGTCCCAGCGCCTGCCAACCTAGCAGTTCGAAAGCACTCCCAGGTGCAAGTAGATAAATAGGGACCGCTTACTAGCGGGAAGGTAAACGGCGTTTCCGTGTGCGGCTCTGGCTCGCCAGAGCAGCAATGTCACGCTGGCCACGTGACCCGGAAGTGTCTCCGGACAGCGCTGGCCCCCGGCCTATAGAGTGAGATGGGCGCACAACCCCAGAGTCTGGCAAGACTGGCCCGTACGGGCAGGGGTACCTTTACCTTTACCTTTTACCTCATTTAACAAGTGTTTAAAGTATACAAAGAGGCATAGCACTATTACTGAACAATACCTCAAGTGAACTTCATATTGTATTGTGCATGTGAAGCTCACCCACTTGCATTCCCCTTGAAGAATATGCAAGTCAAGTGATCCTCCACAATGACATCTTTTCAGATGGAGACCCTAGTCATGCAGCATATCTGCCTGGTTGGTGAGGACAGCAGGTGTGAGATCTCTGCAGATCGCATGCCATAAGTGTGTCTGGCTCACACATTCTGTGAGGTGTCTGTGAGGGGGAGGGGCTCCCACTGCCATCAAAGTGCAAATCAGGGCAGCGATTCTCTCTGGTCCCTTAACTGGGAGGGGACATGTTTAAGTGGCTGCTAAAGATTTATTAGCTTCAAGCATCAAATGCATTTTTACACATCACACAAATGGAGGCCAATATGGATTATCTAGACTAGTTCTAAAAATGCAAGAAAACTGCAGGATTAGAAGTCATCTATCATTCCTAGATTGAGTGTTCTATTACCATGCTTATAGGCAAAAACTCCATGCCTTCACTTGGGGGAGGAAAAAAAGTGGGCCAGAAAGTACTTTGTTGATTTTATCTTGTCTTTTAACACTTCTATCCCAATGGATTAACCATGCAGACCCAGAGGCAAACATTTTATATACAAACATAGCCAGCTTAAGCCCATGGCATCTTGGAATGCAGCCGAGCACATCCAGTGTTTTAAGTAATATGCTGAAAATAAAACTGACTGAATTATACAATAAGAGCAAAGAGCCTGCCAAACATGTTACTGTTACCAATGACATCAGTTTTACTCTGATGACATTCACTACCACTTGTCATTTGGCAAGCAATCTTCCCAGATGTGCTGTGCATGCCACATGATAGGCAAAGCCAGCTCAGTGCTGTGAGAACTTGGCTGGAAGTTCCCAATGGAACGGCTACAGTCTCCTGCCCATGTTATAGTAGCAAACTGAGTATTTTTAACATGGAGAATAATTATAAATTGTAGGGCTCTGTGACAAGTTGCAACAGAATCCCTTTTGAATGAGTTGGTTGAGCATGAGACTAGACACCTAGACATTCCTATTAAACAATGCACAGATAATTTGTCAATTGAGTATCCCTGAGGTGTTTCCTCTACATTCCATTTACATGTCAAAAACTGAAATTTGGGTAAGACCTTGATGTTTCTGCTTCACTGTTTTTTCCAACTTAATGAAATTCAAAATTAGCAACTCCAAATGTGGATCTCTCTAGTACTATTGACTAAACTTAAGCTTGGGAATATGCAAGTTTGTCCTTTGTCAACTTTGCTTCCAAGATTGTTCCTTCCCTGTCCACCGTCTGGTGTTCCATTTCCCTTGGGAATCAGCATACTTCTTGTGAATCTCCCATCTCTAACCATAACATCTATTAGAATCTGCAACATAACTAAGAGCCACTACAGTGACCACCATTCCAATTCCCCACTTTCTTGGCTGTGGAATATCTAGGTTTAAACTTATGGATTTGTAATCCTGACACCCAGTTTGGCTCTGAGTGCAACTAGTTGTGGATCATTCTGGGGTTCTAGAATCAACTTTAATGCTACAAAAAACAGAGGCTCACTTGCTCTGGTGAAAGATACAGTAAATGGAATAATATGAACGGCATCTTGAAGATATGCTTCTATTAAGATTTTCTCTCCTCAGCACCTTCTGATACTATGCAACAATCCTTGACTGGACTGGTCACAACAACTGGATTTCAGGCTGTAGAAACTCAGGCAGATTACCTACTGTTAGGGATGGTTGGGGTGGGCTGTGGGAGAGTTGCTTCTACTTAGCTGAACTGACTTTGATACAGAGATTGGCTATTAACTCCTCTATGCTCACTTCTCATTGCAAGCCACACTCTTCCATTGGTCAAATATGTGGCAGAAGGAGCAGAACAGAACCAATGAGAGAGCTTGGAGCCAAGGGTCACCTTTCAGTTATTGCCAGGGGCCGTAGCTGTTTGCATGGTAAGCAGCCTAAAAACAAAAGACTTAAGTGTCAAACACTTAAGGCATAAATCATGACTCCTACCTTGCCACACTTTAGCCAAAGTAAAAAAGCCAACACCCATTTCCCAGCTGCTGTAATGATTGAAGGAGAGCATGTGGCTACTGTGCACTGTGCATGGATGCACCTGGCTGGCAACTGAATAGTCTCTGCAGTGTGGGTAGCAGTTTCTTCCTGGCTGCACAGCTTAGTGCAGTCATTTGTCACTGAGCCCTTGGGAATGTCCACAAGGAAACATGGGCATTTTCTACACTCCTGCCTGTCACCTGATTTGCCAGCATCTCTCAGCACTTATACTCTTCTATAAATTACTTCCTTTAACAGCTTTTACCAGTTCACCCCGCCTGCTTGCCAAACCTGGTCAAGCATGCCTGTCATTCAGCACATATGGAACTTGCATTAGTTTACTGCCTTCTGAAATGGGAGAGCAAGCGGTGTAGTGAGGAAAGTATTAAGGAGAGAACTGATTATCTCACTTAGCTATATTGGATTCTTTTTTAAAAAATGCTAAGGATTACTTAACCAAACTAGGAATCAAGACTTGATGTAAAAGAGAACTGGCTCTAAATAACTCTTTCTGTCATAGCAAATCAATGGGCTCATGCACGCTAATTAAAAGATAAACATTATTAAAGAGTTGCCTTGATGCAAATTCCAAATGTCTCCACATTTCTTTATTGTTGAAAACAGCACTGTAGGTTGAACAGATGCAGCCAGGTAAAAACTCTCAGGTGAGAAAGTGAGCTAAACCACAACTCTAAAGAGAAGATCCTATCTGTTATTTGGTGCTGAATTCCTGATTCATTTCATGAAGGCCAAGCAGCACAAGGGCTATTTTGGGTTGATGGGATTTCACAAATACCTTAGAAGAAATACTCAATCTAACACAGAGGAGCTCTATCAGAGGGTGAATCATGGACAGCAAAGCAGATGGGTAGTGGAATTTTAAATATTCAATATTTAGAATAGTGCAGGAAAATATTATTTAATGCCACAGCAGAAGGTACAGAATAATTTCACACATGAGATACCGTATTTTTCGCCCTATAGGATGCACTCCCCCCCCTCCAAAAATGAAGGGGAAATGTGTGTGCGTCCTATGGGGCAAATGCAGGCTTTCGCTGAAGCCTGGAGAGCGAGAGGGGTTGGTAAGCCCCAGGCTTCAGGAAACTCTGCGCAAGATGCGGGAGCCCTCCCCTGGCTTGCGCAGAGCCGCCTCTTATCCCGAAGCCCCGGCGCGCTGGGCAGTCGCGTGGGGCTTCGGGTAGCTCTGCGCAAGCCGCGGGAGGGCTCCCACGGCTTGCGCAGAGCAGCCTGTTCTGGGGGCTGGGGTCGGGGGAAGCTCGGGCTTCCCCCGGCCCAGCCCCGTGCCTGGAGGGGGGGAATAATTTTTTTTCTTTATTTCCCCCCCAAAAAACTAGGTGCGCCTTATGGGCCGGTGCTTCCTATGGGGAGCAAAATACGGTATTCAAAACATTTCCCCACCCAATGAACAACCAGCTTTTGATATTCACTGCTAAATGTAGTATTTAAAGCACCCAGATCCATTTTGTTTGTCAAATGCAGGGTGCTAAATCAGAATAATAAAAAACCTGCAGTTACTCTTTAAAATATTCCATTTGTTTATACACTGGAGATCCTTATATCCCAAGCTTTCCATTTTCACCAAAAAGCTATTTCCCTCCAAGGTAAAACTCTCAACAGAATATGAGTACCATTTATCAAGTGTAATTCATGGCACCAAAACTGTGTGGGATCAATTTAGAAATGAACCAAAGGCTAGCCATTATTTTTGAGCCAAAGGATTTATGATGTACTCAAAGTTTGGCAACTGAGCACCACACTCACCTGTAGTTTCCTTTATTAACTACAGTTTTCTCCAGAGATCTGACATCTTTTGCTTCCTCCCCTCCACCCAAGCATGTGGCTGTGAGAACCAACTTCACATTTTTCAGGGGTCTCACCACCCTCATGAGAGCTATGAGTCAACGTCAAGCTTAAGCAAAAAGGAATCAATGGATTGTAGGGTTTCCTATTCACTAGTGCTCACAGGAAGCTGCTCTGTAAAGGGAGGTGGAAAACGTTCATGACAGCTGCCATTCAGGTAACCATTTGTTGTTGTTTTTTAAAATATGGAATGCTTCATGAATTTGCGTGCCATTCTTGCACAGGGGCCATGCTAATCTTCTCTGAATCGTTCCAATTTTAGCATATGTGCTGCCAGAGCAAGCACAGTAACCATTTGTTTTTATCAAAGGTTAAAACTATGCTGAAGGACTAGAAGGTCAGTGTACCAAAGACTGAGGAAAGCCCTGGGAAACTCCACAGAGGCTGCAATCCTTGGGGGAAAATCTGTGAGTCCTACATAAACAAATAATAAATGCTGCCACTTAGCATTTGTGGAGTGTATGGAGTGTTAGGAGGACACACCATGCTCCTTTTGGGGTAGTTTGTCCACCTTTGGTCCCCACCCTGCACTCACCTCTCACCTGTGGCTGCTGGAAGCTGTCAGTATGTGACAGCAGCCACACCCCAGAAATGGCTTCAACTGGCCAGCTAAAGCAGGTGAGGGTAACCGATGGGTCTCAAACCCTCAGTGAGATTGGGACTTCCCCTGCATGCAAAGACAGGCTACGGTGGATTGAATGGACGAGACCAATAATGGGTCCAATGGCCAAGAAGATGATTTCTGCACATGCTGTAGATAGAAATGAGGGGAAGAGGGGGCTCGTCAACCTAGAAAGGTATGGTTGTGCTAATGTAATGTTCACCGTAGTGCTACACTGAATGCAACCCCTTACCTTTGCAGCTTAACATATATTTTTCTTTCATCATTTTTCTTTTGGTCTTGGGAGATGAAAGCTTCTGTCCTGGGGCTTTCCGCCAAGATCAAGTGTGCTTGGAATACTCTTACTTCAGCAGACATTGGTGAGTCAGTAACCAAAACTTAAATATGTCAAACCACAAAAAAATTAAGAGAACTACCTACCCTTCCTCAATCCTGACAGAGTTCATGATGATACAGTTAGTAATTTTAACTTTGTCTTTGATCACACATGCAGTACCAATGACAGAATGTTTAATTGCCGTTTTCTCTCCTAGTTGTGTTGATGCACCTACAATGCTGTCAGATCCAACCTTGAGAGGAGCAGAAAGAAAACATAGTTAAACTTCCTATTTACCTTTTATGGGTGCTGCTAGGTCCAATGAGCACAGAACAGATACAAAGGACTCATGGAAGCTTAAATGAAAACCAGCAGGGAAGAACAGTCCCTTACAGCAGACTAGGAGATGGGAACTCAGACAGATATTTGATCTCTGAAAAAAGCTATGCCTTCCCCTAGTCATACGAAGCATGTTTGTGATCCAAGAGTCTTTTCCGCATAAACAAGGTCTGTTTACTTCTTTTCAGGGCTGTAGAACTAAAGAACTGGCTCCAGGATATGAGTCTTAGCACTGAAGAGGGTGGTGTAAGCTTTGTTCATGTAAAACTGTGTATGTGTGCACTACAGCTAGTGGCACCGCCCACCCTGTGGAATGCCCTCCCATCAGACGTCAAGAAGATGAGTAATTGTATATCTTTTAGGAGACATCTGAAGGCAGTCCTGTATAGGGAAGCTTTTAAAGGTTTAATGTTTTACTATGTGTATATATGATGGAAGCCGCCCAGAGTGGCTGGTGCAACCCACTAAATAAATAAATAAATAAATAAATAAATAAATAAATAAATAAATAAATAGTAGAGCAATGGTGTCCAATGGTCAAAGTCTTTGGCTACCACCCTAAAATCTATGAGGAATCAGGAAAAAGCATAATACTACTGTTGGTTGCCATTCTTACTTAGAATTTAATACTTTCCAATACATCCTGCTGTAAATGGTAATTGGTTGCATTAGGTGGGGGAAGACAGATCTATCTGACTGAATGCTTACCTCAAGATCTACAAATTTGATACATAACAACGATGCCTGTCTGATTGATCAGTTTGAGAGAGGAGCTGACTTGACTTAAAGCTGGATGCATTCTGGCCCAGTCTGTACAATTATATATTGGTTAAATAAGCTGAGCTATGAGTGAACCTTATGCCTGTAGGCATGCAAGCACTTCCCTTTTCAGTGCACTTGAATGCAGTGTGGTAGTTTTCAATTAACCATAGTTTCTCATATCATCCAAACCAGGAAACTATAGTTACTAGCCTCAAAACAAACCAGCATCTTAAACCATGTTTGAGAGTTTGTTTAAGATCTTGTCTTTTTCTAAAGTTGGTAACCACAGTTTCCTGGTTCAGATGAAATGGAAAAATAGGGTTAATTTGAGACTTCCATACTGCATTCAGGCACCTGGGTGTAGCCACGGGGAGCAAAGGGGGCAGCTGCCCCCCCAACTGCCCCCCTAAATCAGGTAAAGAAATAAATATACTTAACTAACTGACCAATTGTGTCACAGATAACTCGGTTCAGCCCCCCTCCCAACATAAAGCCTCCCCGCCAAAAATAAATCCTGGCTATGCCCATGTTCAGGCATGCTGCAAAAGGGTGTGGCTGCATGCATGAACACAATTATCACTCATATCTCAGCATAGTAAGTCCAAATACAGTCTCTGAGAACTTTCATTGTATTAGGCGGACAGTTAATATGGAAGAAAATCATGTAAACTAAGGACTTTTTTTGTTTCAGCATCCCATATAAAGAGATGTTGCTACTCACCAGACCTCTGTCAATTACTTGTGCAGTACAGTGAACCAGAGGTTCTTCTGGGCAAAGCGAAGACAGCATTTTAGGAACCTGAAAGATGATATCCAAAGTCACAAGTTACAATCCATTGCAGAACTGGGATAAAAATCTACACCCAAAGGGCTTGTTGGAACAGAACGGTCCTCAATAGGTACAAAGAGACAGCAAAAAATGCATTTATCTGATATATATCAGGAGGGAGTTCCAAAGTGTAGCTGCCACCACGTTAATAATCTGATTTGTACATCATATGGAATGAATCTCCTGATGCGATAGTATCTGAAGGAGTGCTCCTGCAGACTGAAGTGATTGTCTAGGTATATCTGTGGTGAGACAATCTTTTGGGTGTCTTGGGCCTTTTTTTCAGCTGGAATTCTCAGGTGGGTGACATTGCTATTTTAAGAGAACAAGGGAGGTGTTCATGATGAGAAAGAAAAATACTACTAGTCCTAGTTAATTAAAAGCAATCAATATTATTAGAAGCAATATGCTGTGTGACTAGAGAGCTATGACCTAGAGCTAGGGATGGATGTGTTGGGGAAATATTGGGGCACCATCAATTTTGGTTCTCTCAGTTTCTCATTTTTCCAATCTGAAAGTCAGTTCTCTGCACCTTTTTTGTCAATCCTCAAAATTTATTCAGCATTTTAATTTGAATTTCTCCTAACTGTATGCAGTTTTGACCAATATACACATTTTTGCAAGCACTTTCACCTACTGTTTTGCAATTTTTTGTATACTACCTCCACTAATTTTGTACCCACTTTCCACTGATATATGAAAGAAGATGTAGCAAAGGACCATGCAGAGAGCAAAGGGAGAGGGGCTGCTGAACTCTTTCCCTTCCAGTCATTTCCTTGCTCAAAACTGTTCCAATCACAAGCTGCTTTCCTGCCCATCTGTAGGAGAAAAGGTGCAAGAGCTTTGTGAAGCTTTAAAATGTGTACCCCAGTTAAATAATGCAAAAATCGTCAACTAAAAGGACACCATTCCTGCCTGTTGCCTGCATGAGAAAATGAAAATAATTATCTAAGAGGCAAATATCAGCTATGCACCTAAGAACTGAAACATTCCAAACAACCCAGGAGAAATTTTTTCCTATGCTAGTTCTGCTACCTAGATTTACACCTCAGAAGTCAAGTAGAAAAACTCACTTGCTGCTAGATAGAAGGCAAGGACAAGGCATGAAGAAGAGACAAAGGCCCCTCCTCCCCAGTTACAATTTTGGGCTGGTTCAGGATCAGGCAGTTGTTAGATCACTTTTTGTTCCATGTTGAAGACCTGTTTTGCCTGTGTAAGGGCTAGAGACCTTGTGCATAACGCTGGACATATTTAGCCACCTTGAAGACTTAAGAGATGAGGAGAGAGGAGCCAGAATATATT